TGGTGGTATATTGCATCTGTGACACAGAAACAAGCTGTTGCTTATCGCATTTAAGATTATCTACTGATTATTATCTTGGTGTTGCAGGGTGGCGGGCACTAGGCTGCGTGACTCTTGTTAGTTAAACTAAATCTAAGGGCAGTGTTTCATCATCTATCACTAATCCTCTATGGCTGAAATGTTGTCAGAGGTTATGCCTTACGCTATTTGTTTATAAGGAGTTATCATGAGAGTTAATAATCATACATGATATCTATATAGCACTTTTCCTGGAGCTCAAAGCACTTGAGTTAATGTGAAAAGTCTCCAATTTGTTTAAGAAACATAAAAAAGGACTATGCATGAGGTTATGTAATGACAGTCAAGGAAATTTGTTTTTGGTATCAAGGCTTCAAGGCTTTTATTTGTCATACGTTCATAGCTACAGTGTAGTTATGTCGATGAACATCTTAGGTCAAAGGGTCCTCCAACACAATAAAACAGAAAAATAGTGCAAGTAAATACCAGGGTTCATACACTTTTTCACCAATGATTTTCAATAACTTCTCCATGACCTTTACCTAATTTTCCATGACCAAACAAATTGCTCTTTCTCAGCGGTACCACTGAAAATGGTTGATTTTAACATGGAACAGGAAAATAAGGTCTGCATATGAAACATGTTGTGCCTATCTAAAACAAATCAAATAGTAGGCTTACTAGCTTCTACACGCTAAAGCAACTAAAATCTCTCACCAGCAAAATACTTCGTCAGTTAAATGCCATTTTACGTTTCATTACGATACAGTATTTATTAGATGGATGAAATATAAATTATATTTGATGCAACTTTAGTTACATTTCCATGACTTTGGGAAAAATATTGTTTTTCATATTTTTTCGGGCGGCACCAAAGTTGTTCTGGAAAACTGTCCGACACCTCAGGAGGGGGAAGCAGGGAACCATCCAAGCTGTGTACAGCAAGGATGGGACGTTGTTGACCTCAACTCTGATGGAGTGTTTGTTAGGCGTTTGAAGGAAGCACTTTTGAAGGAACTCCTGAAACCCGACACAAAACTCCGCCCTCTGATGCTAGAGGCAGAGCTGATGGAGGTGACGGGGGATCGGACACCCAATTCTCCCGGGGAATCGGTCACTTGAGGTCGTGTCAAAACCAACTTCACAGTGGCAAAAGCCCTCGGGGTGGATGAGATCCGCCCAGAAATGCTGAAGGCTTCTGGGTTTTGTGATAGGATGTTCTGATGGTTTGACACGTTTTCATCAACGTTGCTTCGTTGTTTGTGCGCAGTACCGAAGGCCCGCGCGTTCCCTCGTTCCCTCGGAAGTGCGGCAAGGCCGGTGGGTGTTTTTCATCTGCTGGCGGACTGCCGGGTGGTGGTGGTTCCCCGTGTGTGTTTTTACTGACATACGAGGAGCCAGTGGGGCTCAGAGTATTCAAGTGGCCGAGGTGTGTAGAGTGCCCTGGTGCACACACTTCTAACCTTTCCTCGCGCGCACACGGCTGGATTCAGGGGGGCGGTCGTACGCCGCATGACATGCAAAGGGTCAGAAGCAGAGGCTGCCAGATACACGCAGAGCCTGTCCGCCCGTACTAAACCACACCGCCTCTCATTTTTGTTCATAAGCACAGGGTCAGAGTCTCCTTGTCAACTACTCTCTCTTATATTCCTTCCGGTGTTTGGTATCTCGAAACCAGTTAAAAGAGGAGCATGGCAGGGTCAGAGCACCGTATGTCGTGTGTACCATCCTCGTTTCAAGAATGGGCTCTATAATGACTGCACCAGAACATCATAAGTGGGTAACATGAGCTATGCGGGATGTTCGTCCTGGGGTATTGACTGCAAAATGTGAAACGGGTTATTGTTCTTAATATAATGTCTGTGGAGAAACAAATTACACTTATCCGTTCTCTGTCCTGCCATAATAATCTTATTCTTGTTTACTATTCTCCATTATTTCCAGGCCAAATATACATATCTTTGTCCGGCTCCTGTGAGCATGTGTAGGTCTGGATGAACCGCGGAACTCTTCGCAAGCACCGGAACATGGAACAGCCGCGGGGAGGACGGTGCCCTCCGATGTGGCGCGCGTCTAAGTTGAGTTATCTTGATATACGCAGTCACTGGCCTAGGGACACTAGCCGTAGAAGAAACACTCACATTGTTGGGCTGGGACCATGTGTGTCAGGTTAAGGACTATGGAGAAATGTGATCGATGCGCTCCGGCATTCGCCAGGATTATCTTGTCCGTCAGGAGCACCTGTGTCTTAGTGTTGTGTCCTGACAGCCGGAAGTCGCGTGATAGGACGTTTGTGGAACTATGTCGGGACTGCTCGGGGAGGAGCCCTCCGATGGCGGGTTCAAATTTACTGATACCACAGCTGGCTGGGACACTAGCCGTAGAAGAACACGCCGGGCGGGACCAAGGATATGGTGTCCCTCTTTAAAGACAAGCGGTGATATATGCGCTCCGGCATTCGCCGCATATCTTTGTCCCGCTCCAGGAGCACCCGCAGTTTGGATGAACCGACGCCAGAGGCACCGGCACGAGGGCCGGGCGTCGGAAGGCCCTTCCGAATGGCGGGT